TGACAAACTTCACACACCTTGACCTTTCGTTGATGGCATTGTGGTAGTGGGGATGATATCGTGAAAGTTCTTCAAACTTTGCCGCGTACTCTCCTACATTCATGGATCCTTGTGTCAGTGCCAAGAACTCCATCTCTTTCTTCTCTCGAACATCTTGTGGAAAGTACTTCTCCAAAAATCTCGCTTGAAACAAAGGCCATGTAATCATTATACCTTCCCCCTCCAATCTTTGTCTCACTCCGTCCCACCAATATTCAGCATCTTCTATTAATGCATAAGCAGCAAACACCACCTTATCATTCTCTGTGCATCGTAGGGCACGAAAAATCTTCTCCATTTCTCTGAGCCAAACTTGTGTACCTTCAGGATCATATCCTCCCTTGAATCGAGGAGGGTTCCTCTTCTCAAATAGGTCCAATCTCGTCAAAGCATCATCACCTCGAGGAACACGATCCTGTTGCACTCGAGCTTGTCGATCCTGCTCCATTGCAACAATTAGTCTCTCCACTGAATCAGCTAATCCAGCACCTCGTCCAGCCATTGATTCTTGATAATCGAATCAAATTCAACTAAGTTATCAGGAAATCATCATTGATATTAAATCATGGTAATTTCCTACACATAATTCCCCACAAAGAGTGCATAAAAGCCTAAGTAGACCTTTCCCCAGGCCTAAAGGGTCGAACTGCTCTGATACCACTATTGTAACACCCTACCTTATAAACCCTCAATCATAAGAATTAATAATTTTTAGCAGAAATTTTTTTTTAACCGATAATAATCTTTCCCTCGTACATAATATCAATATATAAATTTTCAATAATCCATTCCTGCATTTCATCATTTTAAAAAGTACTAAAAGTAAACAATCATAATTACATATAGATAAAATACTAGTACAGTCCTCCAAAATATTAAGGGCAATATTGGGGATACTTCCTACAGAGCAGCTAACTACATAAAAGAGTAACTACTACTCAGTACCATGTAGGTCTATGTACTACAAAAGACTGCCTATAAAAGTTTAGATATGTTTATCCCAATACATGTTGCCATCATTGTGGCTCCCAGCTAATGAGTATGAGTGTCATATTTATCGGGTGTGGAATCCGTGCCATCTCCCCACTCTTCAAACAATGATCGATCAGGTCCAACGAGTACCGCAAGCACAAAGGAAATAAAGAAAACAGAAAGACAAGAGGGTGAGCAACAGTTCATACATCATTTTAAAATCAACATCATAAACATTCACAAGTCAATCAAATTCCAAATGATTGATGTTAATGATGTATGATCCTAATATGTTTTCTAAAATGTTTATGCATGCGGGCACGAATCATTTCTCAAATCAGTACTGGGGTAGCCAGGAGTTGACACTACTAGGCACGGAAAATCCACCCACGGGATTGTTGAGACCCATGCTCAAATATAAACCCAGTAGCTCACTGACCATTGATATACGGTAAGAGCACAATCAGGTACAGGAGAGTTTGTATAGTGGGATCCCCGACAACAGGTAGCGAGCCTGGGTCTTTTGGGGCCTCCAACCACTACCCTTCCTATCCTCAAGTCCTCCCTCAGGGCCTCCCTATCGTATTCTCAGAGTCCATAATCTCTGATTCCCCAGATTTCACAAATCACCATTTTCAGATGAGTAGTGTATGAGTCCCTAAGTGGTTTTTCTTAGAAATTCACATTTTTCCAAAAATTTTGACAGAGTTTCTCCTGTAATACGGACTTCCCAAAAATTTTCAATCACCTGTTACAAGCAGAAAACTTCCAATACAGTTCAAAAAGGGTTCACAACTCATCATCCAATTCTTTCAATTTAATTTTCAATGAATTTTCTCATGAAAAACCACCATGCATATAAATGCTCACTCAGACAATACATATCATAATAGAATACCAAGCATGTATTTTACATCATCATACACGTAAGCAATTCATGATCACTTTCACAACCAAGCATATAATGAAATCAAAATTATCAATCATAACAAATTTAGACAAATTCAACAAATAAGGTCAAACAAGTTTATGATGTAATCCTTACTATATAGCCCACCCCTTACCTGATACGTTCACACTTATTCCTTTCAAAACTTGATGTTGTGTTTCAGCAAAATCTATATACGTAATAAAATGTTAGTTAGAATCTTATATTTCTATGATTCTATCTCATGAGAATTTAAATTCACTTTGTATTGCTAATCCATTTCTAATAATATTTTAAGCTCACATTCAGCTTACAATTAACTTAGAAAATTATCCTATTTTGTAGGCACTTAGAGTAAAAAGAATCCTAATAACAACCATGGACAAGGTTCAGTATTTCAAAATTTTCTAGAGTTATATAAGCTCTTTTGGCATGAGATTTGAGCCAAAATTTCAATCACTTAATTACCTACAATATTGATGAAGGAAATAAATTCAAATACCCTATAGAATAGATGCAGTTTTCAGTGGTTGTTTCCAACTAGGCTCAACTACAATAACACTCTGAACATGCCTTGGTAATTGGATTATAACTCTTGCTACACATAAGATATTCACGTGAAATAAATTTCTAAATTTCGGGGATATAATTTCCTACAACTTTTATGAAGGAATAAAGTCCTAATTTCACACTTATCAATCTCAGTAATTCAAAAACCTAGGCTGTTGAAACAGGGCTACCTCTTAACGTCACAGCTAGAACACTTGATAGTAAAATGGGCATAACTTAAGCTATAAATATCCGTTTAATGTGAAATCAGTTTCTAAATTTCGAAAACTTAAAGAGCTACAAATTTTATGAAGATACTAATTTCTAATTCTGTTCACAAAAGTCCCAAATATTCAATGAATAGTACCTACGAATTAGGGCTCTTAAAGTTTTTAGTTTAACCACTTCTAATTCTCAATTTTAAGTATTATTCTAGTATTCTAGGTGTAAAACCTACAATAACATTCTTCCTACACCCATTCAAGCTGAGCCAAGTGAGGAGAAAAATAGAAAATGCACCGTTTTGAAAGATAAAACGGTAGAAATGTAGAGAAGATTGAGATAAACCAACTTACCTCTTGGAGCTTCTAAAGAAAATCAAGATTTTTCCCTCAAAATTAAGTTTGAAGGTAAGGAAAAACTTTGAGAGAAAGAGAGAAACGATGAACCTACAGTTGCAGAATGACACTCTTTCTTTATAAAGTCAAACATTTCACCTAATAATTCGCTCGGCGGATTACATTTCACCTAATAATTCGCTCGGCGGATTATAGGCCGCAAGTAATAAGATTTCAAACCACCGCTCAGCGTATTACAGACCGGGAATAGAGATTTCAAACATCAACTGCTCTGCGCATTTCTGATGCGCCCAGCGCATTACATTACAAAAAATTTTACCTTTATTTTCTCCTTTTTACTCTAGCCAGGATTTGAACCTACAACCCCTAAGACACTAACATCACTCCAAACCATATTAACCATCATATGTTTCTTATCAATTTATACACATAATAAACTTTTAATGTACTCACACTCAATGCATAAAAGAAAACAATAATTTCTAAATGTGACAATTAAAATTGTTAAGTTCATACTCAACGTTCAGTGCACACACACGAGTATTTTCTAAAAATTCCCGAAAATCATAAATAATCTAATAAACATAAAACTCTACAGATTACTTTACCAAATTCCTAATAATTTAATTATTAAAATTTTGACAAAGATTTTGTCAAAATTTAACAAACTAGAGGTATTGAGAATCAGAATTTTACAGATAAGGTCTTTTTTATCTTTTAATAATCATTTTGTTTATAATTATCAATAATTAATTAACTCATTTTATTTTAATAATTAGTATTTTTTTTAATAATTTAAATTATGATTATTATTTTAATAAATATTCTTTTATTATAATTTAACAATAATAATATTTTTATTTTTTTTTATATAAATGAGTTTTTTATTATAAAATTATTTAACTTACCTAAAGACCTTTTGGGAATTGATTAGATAACTCTCATTATCCCTTCAGCTTTATAACTCTCACATATAATTTATGATTTTGACTTCTAAAACTTAATAATAATTTAATATATTCACCTACATATATTTACAATCTTATCTTCTCACATTTTTATTATTTTATATTTATTTATTATTTATTAATAATAAATAATATATTATTTGACCTCAAAATCAATTATTAAGATCCTTATTAACTAAAATATATATGAAAACTTTATAGGTGTTTTTTAACTTGTTTCTTTTGTGCTGCAAATATTGTTTTCTAGTTTAACGTCATCTGTTTATACCATATTTTCAATTATTTTCATATTGTAAATAATAAATGTTATTATATAAGTAATTATATTCGTTGGTTAAAACTCTATTTTAAATTAGAAATTAATATTTTGTCGCTTTAGCTATTGATAATGATTAGAAGTAGGTAATTTTATAACAAATTAAAAAAAAAAAGATGATTATTCGCACCAAAGACTACACTGATTTTTTAAGCATACATATATATATATATATATATATATATATATATATATATATATATATATATTAGTGTTTATTGCAATAAGGTTATTAAGATAAAACTATGATTTGGACTCATCACCCACTTTCCTTCAAGTCCAAATTTAAACTCACTAATTTATTTACATTATTATTTTATTTGCTCCAAAACGAGAGAAAAGGAAAAGTCATAAGCTAGAAGAGCACTAAAGACACTTTCTCTAACTTATTGAAATGTTTTTATTAACCGTTAAACTATACTAAACACTTTTTTTTTTATCTTTTTCAATATTTTCGGGTTTTTTTTTTTTTTTTTTTTTTTTTGTGTTTCATGGCAAAACATGGCTTATTCTGCTAGGCCGGCCATGAAAAAAAAATAAAAACTAAAAATTTGTCTCTTACAGGAGAAGTTCTTCCTCCAAGCAGAATCTCTTGTTTTCTTTTTCTTCTTTCTCTGTCACCACTTCCCAATCCCACAACAAACCCAATCATGAACCTTCAAGTTCCCGCCATTTTTCTTATCTTCATTTTCTCCATCCCTTCATCCACCGCCACCGCCGGTGTCGACGCCATTTCCCGCCTTATTCAGATCCAAGACCGCGAGAGGGCTCCCCCTTCCGTCCAGGAAGCTGCCGCGCGCGGCGTCCTCCTCCGCCTGTTGCCTTCTCACTCTTCCAGCTTCCACTTCCGGATCGTCTCCAAGGAATACCTATCTATTCTCTTATCATTACTGTGGCCTACAGTTGATTCTTAACCTAACTGAAGTAGTTACTGATTTTTTTTTCGACTGTTTTGTTATTAACAGAAGCAATGCGGTGGTGAATATTGCTTCGTGATAAAAAATCATCCTTCTTTGGCGATACCAGGGGATTCTCAAATTCTGTATGTTTCTTGCGAATTTCTTAACAAAGTGAGCGAGTGTTTCGATTGGAACAATTTTCTGTATTACATCGTTCTTTTGAAGACTTATAGTGGCTGAAATCATCTGTGACGCCATAAAAGCAAACATGGGTTATATATAATAAGTTAGCCTAACTTATACAGTGACAATCCTAACTTATTACGGGAGTGCTGTTATATTTTCTTTTCTCTTATTTTTATATATTTTTCACTTTCTAAAACTATTGATAAAGTATGAATTTCTTATGCATTATACAGATGAAATAATATAGTTACAAAAAATATATGTAGATTTGACTTAATAGATATTATGAAAATGCTTTATTTATTTATTTATATATTATCAATATAGGTTAATAGATTTAGTATCTAATTTTTTTATAATTTAGAATAATATAGATATTTGGTTAACAAGATTAATTTTGATAATTCAGAATATTTTTATTAAATTAAATCGATCATTTTATCAGTTTATTATATTAATTTTTTGGGTGTGAAAATGTGTGATATTTTGTGAGTGATGTCACCTATGTATCATAACTACAAACTGACACTCTTAATCAAAATTTAATAGGAAAACAAATTTTATTTAATAGTTACACTTTAATATATTAAATAAAACTTTAAAATTTTAAAATAAACTGAAATAAAAATATAAATAAAAGACATAAGTTGTTATTTTAACCCATTTTTAACTAACAGATAATAAAATCATCCTCTGAAAAAAAAATTAAAGTTGTAGTTAGAGGGAAAAAAAAAAAAAAAGAGAAGAAGGGAGAATTTCAATTTCATTTTTTCTTTTTTCATTTCTGTTTTGAGATTGAAAGCATGAATTCTCTCAAGAGTGGGTAACATGGATTTTCCCGAGAGAACGTTGACATCAGCGGTGTTTTTTCTGCTAGATTTTGCTTTCTAACTCAGTCGGAAAACTGATGTAGTGTTGTGATGATTTTGAATCCCAAATAGGATTGAAGGCACAACTGGAGTGGACATAGTGTCGGGTCTGCACTGGTATCTGAAGCATTGGTGCGGTTCACACATATCATGGGACAAAACCGGTGGCTCGCAGCTATTTTCCGTACCCAATGCGGGCATTCTCCCGCGCGTTCACCACGCTGCAGGGGTCTCTGTTCAGAGGCCTATTCCGTGGAGCTATTACCAAAATGCGGTTACTTCTAGCTGTAAGCTACTTCTTTATGTTGAATTTGATGTCACAAGATTTCGTTTCGTTTTCATGTGATCTCATGTTATTACTTTATCTGGGTGGGGAAGATTCCTTCGCTTGGTGGGACTGGGAAAGATGGGAAAAGGAAATTGACTGGATGGCTCTGCAGGGAGTTAACTTGCCGCTTGCGTTTACGGGACAAGAGGCTATCTGGCAGAAAGTGTTCCAGGTTGTTTTCTTACCAATTTGCATTAAAACCAAGTCTTGGTATGATTTCAAATTGTAACATCTTTGTGAGGATTGTTGTGAAAAAGAAGCGTTAAATGCTATTTTGGTTAATTAGGGATTTGAGGTTGGTTTCATTGGTTTTTGAAAAATGGAAATTATCATTTTTCAAAATGTTGATCAATACGCTGTGGTTGGTTTACCGTTTGGCCTTGTTCAACTTTTGTTTTTTTCCAGTGGACTTAGTTTAGTAATGTGTTTGGTTTCCCACAGAAGTTTGTTTGCACTCCTACATTTGACTTGAAACCGACTTCCTAGTCAAAACAATATAATAGCAAAAGGTTGTTTTTGAAAATTCAGTTTGCAAACTTTAATACAAAGATGCACTTAGATCGTGTTTGCAAATTCGCTCACAGCCTTAAGGAGAATCCCACTTTCCAATGCATGGAACATAAAAGGAAGGAGCTTGATGGATTGGCGTTGAACTGAAGTACACACTTAGTCATTTTCAGGGACTAAAAATGATGTCATAACTCATAAAATGGAGTAAATAATCACCTTTTCATCTAAATTGATGTCAGCTTCTTTGACCATTTGATGCTAATGGTGAAATGTAGATGAACAGCTTGATTTAGGCCTTGATTCTGTAACTTGTTTATTCAAATTATCATATCAGGAGCTCAGTAATCTTGGGTATTGTACATCTTCATTCTGCTCCATGAAGTATTTCTTACATAGCAAGCTGACTTTATATTGAACCTCCAGGAGAAATTTAACATGAGTATTTCTGATTTGGATGATTTCTTTGGAGGTCCCGCATTTCTTGCTTGGTCACGCATGGGGAATTTACATGGGTGAGTGGAAGGTTTCAAATGCCTATTGTTCCACTTTAATAATCCACATGTCACTTTAACATTAGTAATTGCTTTAAATCTTTCAGTTTCATTGCAAAATTGTTAAGTTTGAGGTTTTTGGCAAAACCTTTCTCTATGCCTTGAATTGCATTGTCATTTTTCTTGGACCAGGATGTCATAGTTTTAGAAAATGTGTAATCTATTTTGAATGATAATGCAATTCCAGATGGGGTGGACCACTGCCACAGAGCTGGTTTGATCAACAATTAATCTTACAGAAGAAAATTCTCGCCAGAATGTATGAGCTTGGAATGACACCAGGTACCCATTAGGTCAATATTATTAGTGGCTCCTCCACCTAACAGCAATAAATTATTGTCAATCTTTATGCAAACTACAGAATGTCCCTGGACTGAAAATTAATATTGTTCTTTTGGTTTAAGTCCTTATCTGGAAGTAAAATTCTAAATACTGAAACATTACTTTTCAGTTCTGCCAGCATTTTCTGGAAATGTCCCTGCTGCGCTGAAATTTATATTTCCTTCAGCAAAAATAACACGCTTAGGAAATTGGTGAGTGCAACTATGTATGTGTTGAGTTTAACTAGAACGTAATTAGTCTATTTATGAAAGAACCACACTGGTTTAAGATTTTAATTGACAGTGTTTTTAAAATTCAGTATAAGATTAGGATATTTCTGTAAGAATATTAGGAAGTTGATAAGTGTCATTGAAAAGGCTCTGGAAAGGTCCTTTTTCAAAGAAAAACGAAAATCATTTAACATGTATGTTTTCCACTTGTACACACTACCTAATTTACGAAATGTAAAATATCATCATCTTACACCGTCAGAAATAGACAACTTTCCTAGGTTGGTAATGGTAATGCCTAATATTAAGATGTCTATGGCTTTAAAACCTACTACCCATCACTTAGATCAATCATGAATGTATTAGACCCTATCAGCCTTTGATTTTTCTTTACCCAATATTGTTGATATCCCAGCCTTGTAACGCAATGGTAGTTGATGCAAAGTGCAGCACAAATGTGTTGTTGAACTCCCCCAATCTCTCTAAACAAATATTAAGAAAAAAAGGGAACCAAGCTGTGTAGAAAGAGGCACTCAATCACATATATACGTGCAACTTAATCTACAACATTAAACTCAGAAGAACTTTTATGAAGCCTGAACCCTGAAGTGGTAACAAAGATGTCATGGCCTGGAGCATAAAAATGACATCTTAGCCTGTAACTGTATCCAATTACCTGTCATATCAACATCCATAACCATGATCATACAGACTTTCATGACCTTTTTTCTGTTATGCCATAGGTTTTCTGTAAAGAATGACCTTAAATGGTGCTGCACCTATCTTCTTGATGCTACTGATTCTTTGTTCATCGAGATTGGGAGAGCATTCATAGAGAAACAACTACAAGGTGATATAAATGTTTCTTTTTTACTTTGTGGGCGGAGTTGTTGGCCAGTAAAATTTTAAGGAAAATTATTTTGTAATAAATATCCAGATACCAATTTAATCGTTTGTGATATTTGACTATCTTTTCACCTAGAGTATGGAAGAACCAGCCACATATACAACTGGTAAGTTTTTCTTTACTCGACAGTTTTAAAATGTGTTTTACCTTTCCATTGCTGAAATATTTGCACATTGCTTGTTTTGTCAAAAGGAATATTTATGAAACATTATTCCTTTAGCCTGAGATATTGTGCCTGTGACCCCCTGTCATGCAATGATATTAGTTAAGTGACCTTAGGTTTATGCAGCATCCTTATTATATAGTAATGCATATCAGTAAGTATCAAGCTTAAGAACTTACCTATTCATGATTCTCTATAGTAATGCATCCTTGTTAAATCCCACCCTTATAGTTATTTATGATGTGGCTATAAGAACTTACCTATTCATGATTCTCTAGTTCTTGCATTGATATATGATCGGTCTGTTAGTTGAGGGTGATAGTTAGCCAGTTAGGGTGTTATTCGGTTAGTGAGTCAAATTGTTGACAATGTGTCTAAATAGACAAAAGGGTTGAGTGGGTCATTCTTTGTGCGGGTATTTGCATTGGAATCGGGAGAGACTTGGATCTCTCGAAAGTCCGGGAGTGTTCTTAATATATTCATTCCTATCTGAACCAGTTCTATTAATTTTTCTTTCTAAAGTTACCAATATCTCATCAATACTATTGCACAAAAAGGTTTGTGATAAATGGCAAACTGAATTTGTCATTGAGGAATGTTAGAATCTGTAACATTACTTATAACTATGCTATTAAATTACTTTTTAAATAACTAGATGTTTTTTAAATGATATTTGAAATATGTAAACTCGTGCCATTACATGGTTCGAGTTTTAATAGCACGCCATGAGGTTATTTTAACTCTCAAAATTAACAAATATTTTGCTTATTTACACCTCTTACTAAATAAAGTTCATTTTTATATTTTTTTCCAAACACAATTGCGATCATCACAAATAAGTCTAAAGACATTTGAGTACTTTAATCATTAAATATCTATTCAGTTAGTTAAAAATCACCAGTGTATTTGAATTGTGATTTATATGCATATTCACAATCTTACGAAGCTGTTTTTCATTTTTTAAAATAAAGAGGAGACTACTATCACTATGTTGTTAGTCATCCCAAAGTTGATGCCACAAACAACACCAATCACTAACATAGAGTATGCTGGACTAATCACAGTGATACTTTTGACGAGAACACCCCACCAATTGATGATCCAGAGTACATTTCATCATTAGGTGCAGCAATTTTTAAAGGAATGCAGAGTGGTGATGATGATGCTGTTTGGCTGATGCAGGTGATATGAATTAGTGTTTTTTATTGTTTAACCTTGATTTGATGCTGCTAAGTGCTAGATTTTGTATATAAGCATAGATTTTCAAGCAAGTAGCCTTATGCATCCACCAAACTCTTAATGGATCCTACTTCTTTTTATACAGGGATGGCTGTTTTCATATGATCCATTCTGGAGACCTCCTCAAATGAAGGTTATATTCATAATATTTGACCTCTCAACTGTATTCATTTCACTGCAAGTCTTAAAATAAGAAAATCTGTCTTAGATCTGGCTATGCAAACAAAATTTTTTCCAGACTTAGTTTATTTTTGTCATTTGCAACGATTTCAATTATCTAAGCTCTGCCAATGTCTATGGTTTTCTCAACTAAAATTTGATTGTTTCTTCGAATCCCCATTATGCATAGAAGCTGTAACTAGCAATCCACTTAAGGTTTTCCTTTTTCTTCTATTGATGCCTGTATAAGACAATGGCTTGAATGATTCATATACTTATATCAGTATAAATGCTTTCGTGTTCACCCTGGTTGTTTCTTCTAACTTAATTACCATTCGCATATGTTTCTTGTTTTCAGGCACTTTTACATTCTGTTCCTGTTGGAAAGCTGGTGGTTCTTGACCTATTTGCTGAAGTAAAACCCATTTGGATTACCTCAGAACAGTTTTATGGAGTTCCCTACATCTGGAAAGTCATTTTTCCATTTTATATTTGTAAATGAAAATAATAATGTCATTTGTTTTTCTAATTGTAAGTTAGTTGGTTTAATCAATATATATATATATATATATATATATATGTTGTTAGTGGCTGTGGATGTTATAACTTTTGTCTATAACTATGCATCAGGTATTAAAACTTTCAACTTCATTAAGTGGATATATATGTATATTTATTGGCTTATCGCTTTGATATATACATAAGTTTATTTAATGTTCTTTTCACTGACTTGGAGTGTTATGCTTGATAGGTGTATGCTGCACAATTTTGCAGGAAACATTGAGATGTATGGGATATTAGACTCGATAGCATCTGGGCCAATTGATGCACGCACAAGTATTAACTCAACAATGGCAAGTTATTCAATTTTATTGACAACTCAATTTTATATTTAATTTCTCACAATTGAATTATATAATATAGTGAGGATGGATTGATAAAGAAAACAATATATGAATATACCTGACAACAATAAAATATTAAATTGATTTGGTGTAGTATATATGATTATTACATAAAATAAAAAACACCAATATCTATTTATCTTTCAGGTTATGCTATTTCAAACCAGTTTTAATTCAAAACTGGCTTAAACACAAAACATTACTGGATGATCAAACTGTATGTTAAGTAGGAAATCGGTTGGCTTTAAACCCAAGCTTCTTCTTTGCCATGTGCATATCTTGCCTCGTTTTGCTAATGAGCCTCTAGCTACTTTTCCACTAAGATTGCATGTGGATCATTGAAAATAAGTTAAAATGAGCTTTTGGTGAAGTTAATACTAGATTTTTTACAAATTAGCAGTTGTATTATCAAACAATTAGGGGTCAATGTGTGTAAGATAAAAGAAAATAAATAAATTGAGTAAAATGAATAAATTTTCTCTTACAAGTTAAAGTCAACTTATGAAGAAGTAAAATCAGAGAGCTTCTAAGAAAAAGTTTAGATGTATAAGTTCATTTAGGAGAGGTTTTACAAATTAGCCTGTATAGGTTACTTTTGATTTGGAGAAGCTTTTTTTATTTTTTATTTTTTTCTCCCAAAAATGCTTATAACAGAATTTTCCAAATGAGCCCTTTAACTTGTGGGAAAAGTTCAATGATGTTATCTTCTTGATTCGTTTTCCTCTACAATAAGTGTGTGTCAAGAAGTTTATCCAATCTGGCTCTAAATAGGTTCAGATTACCAGCTTGTTGCTGGTAGAAACTTGAGAAAGGTTGTTAAATATCTTCAAAAATGTGTTTATGCATTTTTTAATTGGTTACCATGGACAGTTACGTTTTCGAACTTTGAAGTTGGTGCGTCTATGTACAAAAATATAATCTCTTTGACATCTACTATCTATAGATGCAATTTACTGTTCAGACTTGGTTTGAGTGTAAAAGTGCTATTTCTCGTTCAATGTGGTCTGCCCAACATGAGCAATATCTTCTCAATCTGTTATCTTCTCAACTCCCATCAGAATCTGAAGCATGCATTAGATGATATAATTATTTTCACTAGTCACTCTGCTAATAACTTTTTATACTTATCATCGCCAATTTGATTTTGTGAAGGTTGGAGTTGGAATGTCCATGGAAGGTATTGAACAGAATCCCATTGTCTATGACTTGATGTCTGAAATGGCATTTCAGCACAAGAAAATTGATGTTAAGGTAAAAATGAGAGAATTTTTTATGCGAAGAGGTTGCCTTTATTTTACACATGGTTTTCCTATATTCTGCTTGTAGGATCTTGTGTAACCTGAGGAACCCCCCATAATGTGGGTGACTAGTTCTGTTGGATGTAAAATTGTACTTTTATTGTTTGCAAGTTTCATTCGGGAGATACTTTCTCCCGAACCAATTTCATTACCCGCCTATGCTAGGTAATTTTTGGACTTCATTTGTAATTCCAACTTGCTGTCTTTTCTCTCTCCTCCCATGCATGCAATTCCATGTTTTACCAAACAACAGAATACTATGAACCCCATGCTGCAGATAATTTTGATCAGAAGCAATACCTTTTCCTTAACCATGAGTAAAATCAGTGTAAACAAGTGAACAATATAGTAATGTAGTATATTCCGTTGGCAATATTTTTTTCCAATTCCTTTTGGTAATTTTGTTTTACACATGTGCTAGGGTATTTGGTTCTGCAATATAGTATACTTGTATGTATTAATCATTAGAGCTCTGATACAACAGAAGTAGAATTCCATGTTAGCTTACCATACCTCTGTCATTTCTCCTTTACAAGTGTGTTTGGTTTCTTCTGTTAATATCTGAAGTTGTAAGCATTGAACCCCTTCCACTGAGTCCATAATTTCTTTTATTTGTTTTGTAACATGTTAAGGGACAATAAATATACCCTTTTAAATGTTTTCAATTACTTAAAAAACCTAGCATCATATGGATTTGGTATTTCCAATATTGTAAATGTTTCTTTTCTATTAATAACAAGCTATTTTTGTTCCCTATACCTATGCATCTGGTACATAGATAGAAAAACGCTTTTACTTTTTTTATATATTTACGTTCAGTCTTAACTAACTTGGTAATGTTTTTAGATTGAAATACATGTTGATCGTTCCTTTTTCAGGCCTGGGTTGACATGTATTCAACTCGACGATATGGACAACGACTTCCTTTAATACAGGAGGGATGGAATGTCTTATATCACACGATTTACAATTGCACTGATGGAGCCTATGTAAGTACTTGATTGAAACTTCTACCGCTGCTCATCTACTGTCTTCCCCTTTATTACTGCATTCTTCCTTTTAGGATGTATATAGATTAACCAAAAACAATGGTGTTGTATTTCATTTTGTCATTGATACGTACATGGCAGGAAAACAAACTATACATCACATTTTTGGCCAGCTTTTTTTTTTTTTTTTTCTTTAATTTGACCAACAACTTATACATAAATGACAATCTCAAGTGTACATCTTATGCTCAGTTATAGTCCTAGAGGATCATGCATAAGTCCGTATATCATATTTCAGTTTGACCAGATATTCTTGGTGAATGGGAACAGGACAAAAACAGAGATGTGATCGTAGCATTCCCAGATGTTGACCCTTCCTTAATTTCAGTACAGCATGATCGGTCTCACCACTATGACAAGCCCTCGGGAACAATTATCAAAGAAATAACCGATCAATTTGATCGACCACATTTATGGTATTCAACTTCTGAAGTAATCTATGCACTAGAGTTATTTATAACTAGTGGAGATGAACTTTCAAGAAGTAATACTTACAGGTGAGACTGAGAGAAGTTGTTTGTATTAGGATTCTTACTCTTGTTGCAGCACTTAGCTGATTGTAATTCATTGCTCTGTTACTAAATGTTGAGGTTTATTATCTAGATTCATGACATTTATTCTCGACCCAGGTATGACTTAGTTGATCTGACTAGACAAGTCCTGGCAAAATATGCAAATGAATTGTTCTTTAAAGTCATCGAGGCATATAAATCACATGACGTCCATGGAATGACCCTTCTCAGCCAGAGATTTCTGAACCTAGTGGAAGATTTGGACACACTTTTGGCTTGCCATGATGGGTTTCTTCTGGGACCTTGGTTACAAAGTGCAAAGCAACTAGCTCAAGATGAAGAACAGGAGAGACAGGTCTAATTTACTTTAATTGGCATAAAAAATAGAAAATCCACCTGTTTTATACTTCTATTGATGTGACCTAAATGTTTACAGTTTGAGTGGAATTCTAGAACACAAATCACCATGTGGTTTGACAACACAAAGGAGGAAGCCAGTCTGCTTCGTGATTATGGTATGAATAACATTTTATTACTTGCGATACTATTTAACTTGGCTTCACTAGGATGTCTTAGCCTTTTCTACAACAACATTATGCCATGTTTGAATAAACTTATAAGAGAAGAAAATACGAATCTTTTTTTAGTTTATCATAAGTTAATTTGTAAAAAAAATATGATTTATTTATTTAAAATACATAAACTGTTTTAACTCATAAAAAACCGTTTTATTTATTTAGTCTTTAATTATATATAGAAAAAATTACGCAAAAAGGTTTTATAAAGTTAAGGCTAGTTTATCTTTTGTTTTTGTAAATGGTAAGCACTCCCCTTTCTCAATAAATAGCTTCTCTGGGGCCAACAGAGAAAAGGGGAATAAATCAATTAATAGCTCTGTGACGTTTAGTTATGTTATTCAACTTCTTTCCACAGGAAACAAGTACTGGAGCGGGCTTCTACATGATTACTATGGCCCCAGAGCTGCTATTTATTTTAAATATTTAAGAGAAAGCTTAGAGATAAGTGAAAATTTCAAGCTAATAGAATGGAGGAGGGAGTGGATAAAGCTTACTAATGAATGGCAAAAGAGTAGGAATATTTTTCCAGTGGAAAGTAAAGGAGATGCTTTAAACACTTCTCGGTGGCTCTTTAACAAATACCTGAACATGACCAATCCTGAAGCAAAGCTTCTACAGGAGTACTGAACTGAATCATATCAATGAAATTTCAATAAACAATAAACACGTGTAAGAAACCAAGACTATTTGGTTAAATCTGGTTCACTTATCTCCAGATTCCCATAATCTGGTGCCGAATTTCTTTCTCGAATTAACATTGCCAATGTTGAAAGGAAACTATAGCTTTCCGGTTCATGCAAATTGCAAAACATAAAGTAGGCAAATGTACCATGTGGAGAGTAACCAATGGATTAGACGTTTTTGTCTTATTGATGGGAATATAGATGGATGTGTTTCAACTTGATATTGAACCAAAATCTATGATCCAAAAGTATCGACCTGACAAGTAGGATGATATCATATCGTTATCGTTATCGAATCAACTTTTTTCTAAATTAACCTTTTAAAATACTTTTCAGACATTGTTACATTATGTAGATTAAATTTTCAAAAATCTATATTAATCACATGTGTACACCCTAAAAAAAGTAGTTATTGCATTATTTATGAGCGTTGTCCTAAAATTTTTTGCGTGTATGATGTAATTGAACATTATTAATATTATTTTATTGATTATAAACTTGAATATGCATTATGAGTTTTATTAAAATTATTAATGATAAATAATACTAAATGAAGTTGACCAACGAGTTGGGACAAATAAATTCTTTGAAATTTACCAGATTGAGTTCTTTTTTAACTAAAAATGAGAAATCTACCTATTGTTATGATATAATATGAAAGTATTAAGTAATATTTTTTATTAGATTCTTATAAGATTATTTTAAATAATTATTTATATTAGTTTAATATTAATTATTATTTTAGGAATGTAATATTATATATAATAAAATAATTTGAGAGATATAAAAATCATACATTCCAAAATTAAATAATAGGTTCTAAAACAAAGATATAAACTCTTTTAACTAAATTATAAGAAAAAAAAACGAAAATATTTGAACAATTTTATGAATATAATATTTATTACATAACCCGAAAGTTGACTATAATATAATAATCTCAATATCACACTTTGATTGTGACATTAATTTCTGAAATAATTATTACATCTAACAAATTTATATATAAATATTTTTTAAATTATTTTATATTATTTAATCATGTCCTCTTAAGACTATACAAATGCTATTCCTTGTAAGGACATTTGAACTATTTTATTCTTATTTAATGATATATTTCCAAAACTAAACTATGATATAATTAATTGACATACCATTTTTAATTAGTTTATTTATTTATTTATTTTGATATCTAATTTAAAAAAAAAACATCAACAAAAAAGTATCCAATAAATAAATTTTAAAAAAGTAATTTTTTTTTAACTTATATAAATATTCATTAATTTTATTAATATTTTAGGTGAAAAGAGTTAGATTGAGCTATTAATTGTTATATAGAGAGAATGCCACTAAGAGGATTAAAAAGTTCTACTGACTACTTTACTTTGTACAGATTGAGCGCAAAATTTGTAGCAAAAGTTAAGGCACCACATCGATGTTCTTAATATCATCCCCACTATAATAGCTCCTCACTTACTATTATCTCAGTACCACTGCTATTATGTATCATAAGATTATCTACGTATAACTAACCTAAAAATCGTTACTATAAAGATACACTTGCAAAATAGTAAACAAGTAAATAACGACATCTATCTTATATTATATTATTATAATTATAACATATATTGAAATTCTGGTTCACTAACGGAACCTCAAAATATAGTGACATAATTTATTTATATATTATACATGTAAAAGTAGCTCCCTCGAAGTTATCCCACTAAACTATCCCTACTGTCCAGTAGTAACATCTTCATTTCTCAACTCCTGATATACTCCCACATAAAAGTGATCATCGCAGTCTCATCTACATGAAAAAATAGGGGTAAGTATTAAATCATTCGATATAATAAAACATATATAAAAGTAATAATTATATATATGATCAATTACGAAATTATTAACACACTAAGACACCTTCTGGAAGTATACCCTAACTATTTCTGAACTCAGAGGCTATTATCTGTGGGCACATTGTGATCGGCACCCGCAGTACCATTCTGACCACCCTCCACACAGAGTAGGATTACTGGCGCCCTTCATCACTCATACTGGAGTACCCCTCCGAACGCGTCACCAGTCATCCCCCATCGACTTCTCACCACCTGATCTCGTAGTCTACCTGACCCGACCAATCAGTGAAGTCTGGGACCTCATTCAGAATCCTCCGACATAGTTATTACACTAAAGTACTCTATACCATCCCGGGTATCATTCAAACACAACAAAAATCATTCACATTTACCGGATTCTGGACCACCTGTCCTCACGGCTCATTCAAGTCAATAAATAATAGTACTTGACTGATTCTGGGCACCAACCCTCCGGCTCAGTCTAGCCAATACATAACATCTCATGACTGATTATGGGCATCAACCCTTAGACTCGATCCGACTCACGCACGTTACAACACACTACTGAGAATATTTAAAACTGTTACATTCATTCTATATTTTAAATATATATATATATATATATATATATATATATATATATATATGTATTCTTCTTCTTCTTCTTCTTTTTTTCGAAATCATTTCCGAAATCATTTCCAAAATCATTTCCGAAATCTTTTTTTGAAATCATTAAATTATTATTTTGCCTTTAATCTTTTCTGAAAATTCCATGTATGACCCTAAATGACTATTTTACCCTTGGACATTTTCGAAAATTCTTTGCATGTCCCGAAAATTACTATTTTGCCCTTGGACATTTTCAAAAATTCCATTTATGTCCCTAGGATGTAAAATGACTATTTTACCCTTGAACATTTTCAAAAATTCCTTCCATGTTCTGAAAATGACTATTTTACCCTTGAACATTTTTATAAATTTCTTCCATGTTTCTTTCTTCTTCCTCGCGTCGATACATGATAACAAATTTTGTAGATTTTGGTAGATTTCAAATTACTCAATTTTAGACAACCAAACTAGTCCAAAATTCAAATTAAACATGAATTATATTTAATTTAAGTTGAAAACAACAATTTTACCATATAATTCATCCTTAATTTTAAGAATTTCAAAAAAACTTTCAAACGGTGAATAGTTTATCAGAATCAGAAATTCTTCAAAATCAGACATTCAAATAATTCATATATCTACTTTTATTCCTTATTCATATAGTACCCAACAATTCAATTTCATATATTGAATGAATTAAATTTCCTTTTGCCTTGTATGGTATTTCTATCAAAACTTTCTCACTTAATTCAAACTCTCTCCAATTTCACCAGATCTTGCAGGAGTAGAATATCGTTATTTGAAATTTAGATAAAAGAAGAAGAATGATGAGAAATACGTGATATGGGAGGAATAATTTTTTGTTGTAATCATTCTTCTCCTTTCGAACACATAAAGGAAAAAATTTTACGAGTATATCGAAGTTTTTCTTACGCAATAATATTATTAAAAAAATCATACTCACACTATACATTCAAATGCAAGTAATTTAAGTAATCACAACAACATTTTCCTTTGAAATTTAAAATTAAAATAATAAACATACAAATCTTTCATTTGATTTAAATAACTTTAGTTGTTTTTTCACTCTTCCACCTCCCAACAAAGTTAAGAAAGTTAAAAGGCAGGACCAGATGCTGATTCAGGGCGGTGCTGGGAATCCCACTAAATCACACGCCAAGGACTCTGGACCGGTTACAATTCTTAACTTTATATATTCTACAATATTTTTGGCTGCTCCATTTTTGACTTTCCATTCTCCTTTTTAAAATTCTGTGGACTGTTTCACAGAAGAAATCACTAGGATGGGTCCTACACCCTTCTCACATCACATCACCATAGCCCTCAAGACAAAAATAATGCATTTTTAAAGATAAAATTTTTTATTTCATAATTTTATAAAACTTAATTAATTACAAAATGCATGTAAAACTACGTGGTAGAGAAATTAAAGAAAAAGCGAACCTACCAATCGTAGGGTGGGATTGATGCGTAAGCGCACGCGTCGTTCTGAGAACACTTAGACAAATCCACGGTGTTCTAGAAGGTTCCAGCAGATAACCAATGGGAATACGAGTTTTCTTGCTGAGGCGGTTACGTGTGTGCCAAAGTCCACGTGACAACATAAGCATAACCCATGTTCAAGGATTTGGTCGATTCCTTTAGGATGTGGTCCTATAAAACCGCATTCAGGGGTTCAAACTCTCCATCATTTTTCCTTCAGCGTTTCATTCGTGAAGAAGAAATGGGATCCTCCGGAGCATCTTGGGCCGACCAGTGGGATAATGGGCCTGACCCAGTTTTTGGCTCCAACGAATCGAAGAAGAAAAGCAACAACAACGCTCTCGGGAAGACGAAGGCTGTGGCATCGAGTGGCGTGAAGAAGTTGAAGGAGGGTACCTCCCTTGGCTTCCAATGGATCAAGACCAAGTATCACAAAACCACACACAAAAATTAGGGTTCATTCCTTGTACATGTTTATAATACTCACCCTCACACACTCTCTCTCTATATATATATATATCTTTTTCCTCTGATTATTATTATCTATGTTTTCTTTATTAGTTTATTGTTGACATATGAGATTAGTTTTACTTTGTATCATTGATGGATGTATGATCTTTTCTTGTGTTTTCTGTGTGGTGGATTAGTCTGCTTGTATACTTTTACACAGAGTAATGAATCTTTTATTCTTTTTATGTTAATGGTGTTCTTCTCTGAGAATCATAGATAGTGAGAAAAGCTAGCCATTACAATCTTCAATTCCTGCTTTTTCTTGTTTAGCCTAATAAAGTATATTTAACTTTTTAAACTACTTCAATTTTATATGGAATCAATCAAGTATATTTGTTTAACCCATTCAAAGAATCAAATTAATCAATTTCAAAATTTAACTCTACGAATTTGTTTTGAATTTTTAGGTCAGTTCAACTCAAATCAAATTATTCAATTATTTTTGTAATCTATTTAAATTAATATAACATTAATCAAATTAATTGTTTTAACATAATTCAATTTAATATCATATTAATCTATTTGTTTCTTTAACCGATTCAACTTGTACCAAATTAATTAAGTTTAATAAATTTTAATACAAGATATGGAATTCATAATTAATTAATTAATCTAACCGCATGAATCAAATTGAATACATAAATTAGTTTTGAATTTTAAGAATGAAATTAATCAAATTATTCAAATTCAAAGCATAAACTAGTTTTGAATTTGTCATTAACAAATTATGTAAATTAAAGTAATTAAGTTAAATTTTAGTTTATATATATATATATATATATATATATATATATATATATATATATATATATATATATATATATATATATAGTTTCATGATATAATCATGCTTTCAATTATAAGTTAGTTATAATAAAAAAAATATCATCTATTCATTTTAATATCACCACAACACGTGATTTTAGAATAAAATGTTCTTTTATTTTTTAAAATACAGTTTTACATACATTAAGAATTAATCTGAACAAATAAAATGTATTATTCTTTACAAACAATATTACATCCACTAGAATGTATCTGAATTAAACCAATTCTTTCTTTATCAATTTGGTATAATTCAGATTAAGTTTCATAGAAATTAACAAGTGAATCCTCTTAACACGCTTGATAAATATGCTGGTCACATATTTACAGTTCTGTAAATTTCCTCTTAAAGTCTGGAAATTTCCTCTTGTGTCATTAAAACGAAACCACCTCCTTTGTATTATTTATCTAATCGATGTATATAACATCATACAGTGTGCCCGTAGAGATTTAGTTTAGATAAGGACTTGTGTTGTGTCATTTAGGCTTTATTTGGTTGGAGTGATTTGAGAGAGTGGAAATGAGAGAGTGGGAAATGAGGGATTTGAAGAGAAATGGAGATGAAATTAAAGTTGTTTGGATGAATTAACTGCTATCATATATTGCATAAATTAGAGGAGGCGTGCATGTACTGTGTGTTCACATGCAGGAAATGGAGAAGGATATTTAAGTCATTTATCAGTTGATGATGTGTCTTTCTCTGCTATCCTCTCAAATCCTCTCATAAATTAGAGGAGGCGTGAATGCACTGTTTCCTCCTCTCTCCCTCAAATCTACGTCTGCAAATCCTCTCATATCAGTTGCAACAAACGAATAACATCCCGCTTTTCTATTCTTTGAAATAGTAAATCACTTGCAACAAACAGAGGCTTAGGGTAGGGTTTACAATTAAAGTTTAATGAAGATTATGCCTTAGTTTCTATCTCCAATAACATAAAACTCACTGGGTCCTGGGAATTTTGGAAATGAAGGTTGCTGACAAATATCAAAATTCATATTATATATAACTTCATTATTTTAATCGGGTGTGGCCCAACCCAAATTGAACAAATGGGAGGACTTTATTGTGTGTAACAAAAGGTAAATTTGGGTTTAGGTTATTGTAACTATACTACTTGGACATAGATTAAGTGTGGATCATATCAGATATATTGTCAAAACTTAATTGGGTAAGGATGGGGACATATCCATTTTATCCCTAAAAAGCAAAATTCATAGAATCCTAATTTAATTTTGTTACATTTTAACTAGAGACTAAGAACGAAGAAGGAGATGGATAACATCATTCGTACTTATTATGTTCTATTATAATTTTATATTTAAATTTAAATTTTAAAATATTAATTTTTTTTATTTTATATTTTTTAAAGTATAATTTTTTTATTCTAAATTCTTTTTAAAATATTCATTCATTTTTTTCTCAATTTCTTTTTAACACCAACTTTTTGTTAATAAAATTTTAATGATAGAACTTTCTCAAGAGAGGGATAAATTGGATTTTCAAAAATCTTTTAAATTTCTAATTAATTATTTAAAGAACTTCTCCGGATAATCAATTATGAAAGAATTATCATAGTTTATAGAAAAACAAGTATATCAAGATAGAGAGAAGAACAAAAGACGCATAAATTTATACTAGTTCGATTATTCTTAAATCTACATCTAGTTTTAACCAAGCAACTTTAGCTTAGAGTTTTTCACTTAACAGATGATTTACAATCTAATTAACTGATCTTGATTTTACAACACTCTATAATCAAGACCTCGGTTATTGAAAATACTTTACCTCACAATTTTCAAGTTAGGCAAATGTAGCTAGCCTCACATACATCAATGTTTAGAAATAAAAATACAAAAAAGAGATTTCCTAGTTTATCTTCTCTCTTCATGAACATTTTTTTCTTTTATTTTTTATTTGTTATATTTTTTTAATCTCTTCCTTGTGAAAGATAATTAAATATTTATTTATTTTTCTCTAAATATATGTATTTATCTTATTAATATTTAAATATTATTTTATTTTTAATTTATTTTTATTACATTATGTTATGCTATATTTTTTTAAAATTTTATTATTCTTATTTATCATGTATTAATTTTTATATTAATAATTTTAATAGATTGATAATTAAAGTTTTTATTACTTTATACTAATTAAATATAAAATATTTAATCGAATATTTTTTATAAAGTATATATTTTATATTATTAATATTTTAAAATAATAAATCTAAAAAATAATTAATATAATATAATGTTAGTAATAATAATTTAAAATTATCGAATTATAAATATACATTAGATATAAAAATAATATATAAAAAATAATATTAAGACTTATTTATTATAATTTATATATAATAATAATTTCTAAAAATAATATAAGATTAGTGAAACAACAAATACAAAAAAAAGACAAATAATTTAAAAAGTAAAAAAAAAAAAAAAAAAAAACTGTCCTTCACTCCCTCACAGGATTACATGGCTGAAGCAGTTGAATTTAGCCATGTTAGACAAATGACATCTAGAGAAGATGAATAGATGCACAAATTAAAATAAATGTTAAATTAAAAATTTATTTTAAGATGTCCAATAATTTATTAATTTAATTTTAATTATCAGATAAAATATAGATAAAACTGAAGCAATATAATAAGATAGATAAATGGAAAGATTCAAGCGTGGAGATGTAGGATGTGATGATGTTAAAGAGATAAAGGTAAGAAAAGAGTACATAATAATTTATACTGATTCGGGTATAATCAACCCTACATCCAGTTCCCAGTCAACTCTAATCACAAGAGTGACTTCAATTCACTATATTTCAAATTTAGTTAACAAATTACAATTAACTTAGCAGAGGAACCAATAAAAAGTAAACTATTTCAAAAGACAATCACCTCCTTAGAAACTCATTAAGGATGAACACCTCCCTAGAATCTCACTATGGATGAACACCTCCTTTGAACAAATCAAAGGATGAAAAACACCTCATTTGCAACCAACACGCAAAGGATGAACATCTTCCTAGAATCACACTAGGGATGAACACCTCCCCGAACAAATCAAAGAGATAAAAACACCTCCTTAGAATCTCACTAAGGATGAACACCTCACCGAACACATCAAAGGGATGAAAACACCTCCTTAGAATCTCACTAAGGTGAACAAATCAAAGGATGAAAATACAAAGACAAACATAAACACACTAATAAAGAGACAGTATGCACACCTAAACCCACAAAGGAGGAAGGTAATAAAATAAGAGCAACAACCTAAACCATAAAAAGGGAATTTAACATCAACCACCTAAGCCCACAAAGGATGAAGGTAATAAAATAAGAACACACTGGGTAATGGAGACAACAAATTATAGAAGTCTGTAGAATGTCAACCTCCAAGAACAAGTGTGATTAACAATATAAAAGCACAGAAGACAGCAAAGAAGAGAGTTTTCTCAGAAGATGTAAAATATCTTTGTTGTCTTACTCAAAATTCTTTTCTCAAAACTGATTGAATGTAAATTGAATTTTCGAATTATGTAATTGTGTATTTTAATTTTTTGTCAAAATTTATTTAAATAGGAAAACAGCATCAGAAAATAGTCGTTGATCATTAATAACTTCATAGAGAAAAGTCAGGATGTATCCAAAAACATTTATCCTTCAAAAATGGATATATTTTTCAAATTTAAACTGTCATAATCGATTATGTTACCAATTGTTACTGGTGAAATTTGGTTTTATTTCGATTCTCGAAGACTATAAGTTTTAACTAATTTTTAACCATTGTGAGTTCTTTTATTTAGGCTAGCAAACGAAGTTTTTTTATCAAAAATGTAAAAGGTGATAAATTTAAGTACGAAACACCGAAAATAAATTTAAAAGCATAAAAATATCAATGCTACTCAAATAAATGATTATATCTAATTGAAAGAAAGGTTGTTTAATAACAATGGATAAATAAATTATATTCATTAACTTAAAAACGAAAAGTTCTTTTTAATTTTATTATTAAGAAACTTGAGAACATTAGAATAGACAAAAGTAAAATTAAAAGTAAATTATATAAAATGAAAGGCTATGTGAACTTAGAGATATGAGTGGTGATATTTTGACA